AAAATTTTAAATTGAAATTATTTCAGTTTGAATTCAAAGGGAGAATAAGTTATTGACAAGGAATACAAGAGTGCCCCAGTGAAATAGTCTTTACTAACTTAAGTCAGTTGGCTCAAACAACCAGTTTCCACTGAACAACCATACATATCTCTCTTTCAACTCTAGTCAGAAAGGAAGCTGACTAGTCTAACATGAACAATAAATACCAGAAACTTTGACAATTACATCATCTCGCACAGTACTGGTGTCCCTCGCTTTGTGGCAGGTGTGATCCAGGGCTATAACAGCTGCAATCCAGGCCTGCAGCAGCTGCAATCCAGGCCTGCAGCAGCTGCAATCCAGGCTTTTAGCAGCTGCAATTCAGGCCTATAGCAGCTGCAATCCAGGCCTATAACAGCTGTAATCCAGGTCTATAGCAGCTGCAATCCAGGCCTATAGCAGCTGCAATCCAGGCCTATAGCAGCTGCAATCCAGGCCTATAACAGCTGTAATCCAGGCTTATAGCAGCTGTAATCCAGGCCTATAGCAGCTGCAATCCAGGCCTATCACAGCTGCAATTCAGGCCTATAGCAGCTGTAATAAACTATCAGATCATCAACACTTAATTCCTCGTGAAAAGTCTTCAGTGCATTTGTGAACCACACTGACCAAATAAGGCCAATATACAATATATTGCACATATAAAATTACCAATAGGAAGAGTTCATGCTTAATAATGAATTCGCACGAAGTGAACCTGTATAAAGCAAAGGGACACCCGTAAGTTTTCTTTTATACATTCCCTAAACAAAATCTGGACAAGTTAATTTGGTCATTTATTTCACCCATGAGAGAATACCTGGGTCTATTGTATTGTACTGCTGGTATCTTTATTTTACATTTACTCTTATCCTTATTATGCATTCGTACTAAATACTGTACATATTCTGACATTATTTTAGTGACCTTATTTGGCACTTCACTATGCACTGCAAGTACTACTATCTGGTAGCTTATTTTAAAATGAAAAACAGTTTTAGTAATTATACGTACACAGTTTTAAAATTAAATAATGTTTTTTGTAGACATTAGAAAAATATATGTGAAATATTGCAAGACTGGGACACTACTATATCTGTAACTACACCTTAGTCATGAAATTATACAAAAAAAGAGAGATTTTCTTAATGATTTTAAGTTTGGACATGAATATTTACTAAACACATATAAACACTATCCTCTTATGAGATTTTTTTTTTCTTGCAAAATTGTTACTATGTCATCTTAAAGAGAAATGTCAACAAACATACAACACAAATAACAACACAGTGAAAAGCACATATATATGTATATATTCTCCACCACAAGTGTTTATTAAGACAATGCTACTGGCATGTCTTGCATGCACAAAACACTTCATGAGATCAATCACAACAGCCCAGCCTGATGCCTACTTTACCACTGAGACCACAAGTTCGCTGGCCCGGACATTAAGTCGAGGTACCATGGTGTCAGGGTACAGTTTCTGGCACTTTTTTCTGCACACTACCTTCTCATATAGTTTCAAGAAGTCTCATTTCAGCTAGAATTATTGCATCTCAAGCTGACAGCAGTCTAGCCAAGACCATCACCACTACAACCACTTCCAGTAGAAGGCCTGGCACCGCAACTGCTCCGCCTTCTGCCGAGCCAGCTATTTCTCCTCAGTGATCCTTACGACGATTTCTTCGCCGTTTCTTGTTCTTGCGACATTCCTGAACTGGAATACATGCCCCACGGTGAAGCACAGAGGGAGGTGGGCAATAACAGCCAGCCCTGCAGCGTCGGGTATAACACTTGGGGTTGGGCGTTGGGTTGCGACACGTAGCACGGCATGGAGGAGCACATTCCATATATTCAGCTCCGTGGGGACAACCCAGACCTGCAATAACACAGTTGAGTTTCTTTATAATGGGTTTTAACATTAATATGTACTGTGAATATTTATGTTTGTGTATTACTGTACAATACTGTACTTAAATCTAAAATCAATGGCATAACCTTGTGAAGAGCTAGTCAAAATTAAGGTTAATAATTATACACAAATATTCTAATTAGCCGCTGCTTAATACCGTGCAGTAGGGCCCCACTTATACGACAGGTTAGGTTCCAGGCTACTGCCAGAAAGCAGAAAGCCACTTATAAATGCATATAGGAAATGCCAGATAACATGTTTACACTAACATATACATATTAAGTTAGCAATAGAACTAGGCATTAAAAACAATAAAAAGTAAAATACGTACACATACAGTACACTCATTACTTACCTTGAAATATTTGTAGTCTTAATATAGAGTGAGAGATGAGTAGTATTTATTGTAAGAAGTCAGGTGTGGGAGGTACGGTAGCCAGCCAGGCCACCCCACCCACACGTAATGTACTACTACATTTAACCCGTAAATGGTCAAAATGTATATATACGTTTTTTCAACATTTGAAAGTATGTAAAAAAGTAGATCTTCTTTTTGTTTTTCTACATTTGAAAATGTGTAAAAAAACTTTGATCTACTTTTTTCTTTTTTGTTATATTTGAAAATATGTAAAAAAAAACTTAGATCTACTTTTGTAGCACTACACATGTGAACGTAGATCTGCTTGGACCGCTTATGGGTTAAAGCGCCCCAGAGCGATAAAATGCATATACAATACATTCATTACTTACCTTAAAATATTTGTACAGTGGACCCCCGGTTAACGAACTTTTTTCATTCCAGTAGTATGTCCAGGTGCCAGTACTGACCGAATTTTTTCCCATAAGGAATATTGTGAAGTAGATTAGTCCATTTCAGACCCCCAAACATACACGTACAAACGCACTTACATAAATACACTTACATAATTGGTCGCATTTGGAGGTGATCGTTAAGCGGGGGTCCACTGTAGTCTTAATGTAGTGTGAGAGGGGAGTAAATGAATAAAAGAAGTGAGAGAGGAGAGATGTGTGGAGTTATGTAAACAAGCAGATGAACACATCTGGTTTAGTTCATACACGTAACGTCTCATATTTACGTTAATTTATTCTACTGTGGGGTGTATTTATCATGTTTTTATGATAGTAATGTGTTTATTATATAATTTTGAAAAAAATATCATAGATGGATTAATGAAAATGTTTATATTAATGTAATATACAACATTTAATGCATTTCAGAGTGATTATTATTGTGTATTATTATTATTATCAGAATAAAACATGAAATAACTTTAAAACACTTGAAAATTTGGAAAGTTTCCATACATTTTGGAGAGATGCAGAGCTCACTGAACTCATGAAAAATGTAAACAAATCAGGTAAGGCATGGTAGCCATATTAGAAAGTCAGGTGGGAGAGCTGTATAGCAAGTTTTGGTCATAATTTCAAATGTCTGTATTAGTGCAATGCCATAAGATGAAACGCTGTAAAGTGGGACTCTACTGTATTATTACATTCACAAAATATGTACCAAACCCATGTGGATCAAAGAGCACTGAATACTGTAGTTTTAAGTGTCTTAGCCAATGCTTTTGACAAAACATAATTATTACCATACAATTTCCTTTGTGTAAAGGTAAGGGGGACAGAAGAGAGTGCAAGAATTAGAGGAAAATAAGCCTGTTAAATATACTAAGTAAAATGTATGGTCAAGTTATTACTGAAAGAATTAAGGGTAAGAAAGAGAGCAGGATCACAGATGAAGAAGGTATTAGGAAGGTGTAGACCAAGTGTTTACAATGAAGCATGTAAATGAGCAATATTTAGATATGGGAAAGGAAGTTTTTGTTACATTTATTAATTTATTAAAGGAATATGAGCTGTATGACCCTGGTGGTTTAGTGCTTACTTTTAATTATAATAAAGGAATATGAAAGGGTGGCTAGGGAAGCAATGTGGCAGATGTTGCAAGTGTATGGAATAGGTGGTAGGTTACTGAAAGCAGTTAAGAATTAATATGAAGATAGTGAGGCTCATGTTAGGGTATGTAGGGGGGAGGAAGATTATTTTCCAGTAAAAGTAGGCCTTAGACATGGATGTGTGATGTCACCATGGCTGTTTAACATGTTTATATATGGGACTGGAAAAGAAATGAATGCTAAGGTGTTGGGAAGAATTTTTTTTTTTTTAACACGTCGGCCGGTTAACCTGAATCCCAGCTCACACTCCAACAGCTTGTCAGATCCCAAAGACCATTTGTCTCCACTCGCTCCTATCTAACACGCTTGCTGTAAGTCCAAGCCCCTCGCCCACAAAACCTCCTTTACCCCTCCCTCCAACCTATTCGGGGATGACCCCTACCCTGCCTTCCTTCCCCTACAGATTTATATGCTCTCCAAGTCATTCTGCTTTGTTCCATTTTCTCTAAATGACCAAACAATCTCAACAGCCCCTCTCCAGCCCTCTGATTAATAACTTTTAGTAACTCCGCACCTAATTTCCACACTACAGATTCTCTGCAAAATACTTACACCACAAACCATACCACGGACGGGGATAGAACCCGCGATCAGAGAGTCTCAAAACTCCAGACAGTCGTGGTCTGGGGATTTGAGACTTTCTGATCGCAGGTTCTATCCCCGTCCGTGGTATGGTTTGTTTGCAATCGTGTCATTACAATTTCGTGAGTCATGTTAACTTACAGCATTTACAACCCATGCTTCATACCTATATAAGAGCGTTGGTACCACTATGCACATTCCCTTTGCCTCCATGGGAAGAGGTAAAGGATTAAAATATATAGAATCTAATACATAATGGGAGTTGTCACATTTGCTTTTTGCCATTGATGCTGTGCTTTTGAAAGATTCTGAAGAGAATTCACAAAGGTATGTTAAGGATATGTAAAAGAAGGAAATTAAAAATGAACACAGGAAAGTGCAAGGTTATAAGGGTAACAAAAAATTTAGTTAATAAAAGATTGGGTATTAGATTGGATAGAGGGAGTATAGAGGAAGTAAATGTGTTCAGATATTTGTGAGTGGGCTTGTCAGCAGATGGGTCTATGAGAGATGAGGTGAATCATAGAACTGATGAAGAGAAAAAGGTGAGTGGTGCACTGAGGAATCTGTGGAGACAAAGAACATTATCCATAGAAGTAAAAAGGGGAATGTATGAGAGTATAATGGTACCAACACTTATATGTGGGTTTGAAGCATGAGTTGTAAATGTTGTAGTGCGGAGGAGATCGGAGGCAGTGAAAATGTCATATCTGAAGGCAATGTGTGGTGTAAATATTAAGCAGAGAATTCATAGTCTGGAGATTAGGAGGAGGTGTAGAATTACTAGAAGTATTATCCAGAGGGCTGAGGAAGGGTTGTTGAAGTGGTTTGGATATTTAGAGAGGATGGAGCAAAACAGGATGACTTGCAAATTGTATAAATCTGTAGTGTAGGGAAGCCAGGGTAGGAGTCACCCTAGGAAAGGTTGGCGGGATGGGGTAAAGGAGGTTTTATATGCAAGGGGTTTGAACATCCAGCAGATATGTGTGAGCATGTTAGATAGAAGTAAATGGAGGCAAGTAAGTTCTATGACTTGACATGCTGTTAGAGTGTGAGCATGGTAACATTTATGAAGGGATTCAAGAAAACTGGTTAGCCAGACTCAAGTCCTGGAGTTGGAAAGTACAATGCCTACATTCTGAAGGAGGGGTGGAGATATCTGCAGGTTGGAGGGGCATCTAAACTGTAGTTTTGGCACACCTCTGGCAAGACAGTGATGGAGTGAGTAATGGTGAAAGTGTTTCTTCTTTTTCAGGTCATCCTACCTCAGTGGGAGACGACCAGTATGTTGAAAAAAGGTGTGTGTGCTTTTTTTTAATAATTGTTAAAAGGTGTCTGAAAGCTCTCTCACAGCTTGCAATAAACATTAAGTTTACTGCTAATTTTATTTCTCTAGAGCTTATTATATGTTCACTGTATATTCAGGTTATCTTAGTTACACTTTCTTCTGAGTGTGAATGAAAACTCATTAAACAATAAATTCACAGGTAAATTTTATTTCCACTTTCACCACAAACTGACTACCTTAGGTATGTAAGATTACCTGTCCATAACACCACCTCTCCATCTTCCTCTCCCTTTCTCCTTCCCACTTCCCAGCTTTGCCATGTAGCTCTGAATGATCCTTACATGTTTAGTGCTTAAAGTAAATATTATAATAATTATTTTCATACTTTACAGAAACATTTGGAATGTGGAGACTTTATGCTGCTTGTTCAACTGATAATTCTCAAGCAGTTGTCTCTTACTGGCACTGATAAGCAATAGGGGTGGGAATTCGAGTTGTTTCATAAGGCACTTGCACAGTACATATTGGAAAACAAGAAATGCAGCAGTAATTTCTAAAAGGTAAGCAAAGCAACATCAAATCTAGTGACAAGTGCAAGTCAATGAAATGACAGAGTAGGAACTGCAGAACATAGTTCCATACTGCCCTTGCCATGGCTGCTATTAAGAAAATATCTGAAGAATAAAATTACACACTGCTCTTGCCATGGCTGCTACTAAGTGAATCTGAAGAATAAAAATTAAAGTACAGTGGCTGGAAAAATTTACATCTTGCACACAAACTGAATATGATTCCAAAGAAAATATTTTGGTTCGTCTTGAACTATTATCTTGGGATTTAACTACAATTTGTGTGTTTCTTGAGAAAGAAGTGTGTTTTGCCTCTTGTATTGAGTCTTAGACTATCATATTATACATTTTAAATAAATACTAAGGGAATATCAGTGTGGCACTCACCCCCGCATTTACTTTGCTTACGCCACTCTTGGACAGGGATACCAAGCCTCTGACACTGTCGTGCATACGCCTGCAGGGTATCACACTCGCATCGCCGTGTTGAACGACATTCGCACATGTCTAGGATACACGACCTGTTAAAAAGGATATATAAAAACATTTAAAGATTTTTACACTGTTGTCCATGTTTATTCTCCCGTAATAGAATAGGCTAACCTAGTTCAAGCAAATATTTTATAAGTCTGCATACTGCATTCTATGCATCATTACTGCCCATACATTGGTGGGTCATTACTAACAATGAACCACCAAATGGTGGTGGGATAATCTATTTCTTTAAATGTTTTCATTTTTTCATCAATTATTCTGGCTTAATAAAATTTGTAAAATTCTTGTTTCCCCACTTACTCGTAGAATTTATCGATGGCAACAATGCTGTGGCAGGCCTGGAACACAGTGCTATTAAGTAAGCCACACTGGTTAAGTGTTTGATTTTGTGGCATAGGGCATGTCAAGCGCTGTGGTCGACGCACATTTGCCTTTAGTGCATTACTCATTTTGCGGGAACACTGAACAACTTTTCCTGTGGACCATGACATAGCCATTTGATTTGCAGTGTCAGCTAGGTTACCATCTTTAGTGGTTAGATCATCAGAAATGTTGTTATTAAAGTTTCCACACAAGCCGCACATATGACCTCTCATCTCAACAGGCACTTCTACTTCCACATAACTGATGCCATCCCACAGTACACGCACTCCTGTTTCAGAAATAATAAAGTCAGTCAAAATAGCACAAAGTATTAAACAAACTATTATTATATTAAGTAAAACAGTTGGCATATTACCTTTAATATTCTACAGTAGGCATATTACCTGTAGTATTCTACAGTAATACAATTGTAGGTTGTATTGTACTTTATTTTGTATATCAAACTTCATAACTATTACCAACTTTGTAGACAATATTATAAGGTTATTCTTTGTATTTCAGTGCACTAAGAGGTTAAGAGATATATTGAGCTTTGGTAATACAGAATGTATAACTAATCAGCCTTCATGTACCTTACTTATCCTTCAAAATCAATCAAATCAAATCAAAGTTTATTCTCTATAAGGATTACAATGCGGGATTTTCAGATTTTGGTTATTGTGTGGTTTACATGTAATAAAATACTAATTACAGAGGGGGCCATTAGAACACCTAGCAAGGCTAGGCATTTCGGGCAAACTTAGATTAATTCATAACCCTAAATTATTACAAATTGTGGAGTAAGTTGACTAAATACTAAGTGATTAAATACTAGTTTGTGAGTTTAGCAATGTGAATGCTTTTGTTTTGGCACAATACATAGTTTCTATATTGGAGTATCATAGGCAAACTTGGTGACTAGTTAGGAATCATTATTTTAAGATTATGATACGTATTTCTGTGCTTATAGTCAAATGGGTGAGTGAGTGAGTGTAAGTGTGAACCACCAGGTGGTTTTTATGTAGTTAGCTGACGGGGTGTATCAGGGAGATAAGATGTTTTCTAACGGTAGTTTTGAGGGTGATGAATGTGTCTGCAGTTCTAGAGTTTTCAGGTAGGGTGTTCCAGATTTTAGGGCCTTTGACATACATTGAATTTTTGTAAAGGTTTAGTCGGACACGGGGAATGTCATAGAGATGTTTGTGTCTGGTGTTATGCTTGTGGGTCCTGTCACAACTATCAAGAAAGCATTTTAGGTCAAGGTTAATATTGAAATTTAAGGTCCTGTATATGTAGATTGCACAGTAGTAAGTGTGGATGTTCTGAACAGGGAGTAAGTTTAAATCTATGAAGAGTGGGGGGGAAGGGGTGTTGCCAGGGATGGGATTTAGTGATTATTCTTACTGCGGCTTTTTGTTGAGTTATTATTGGCTTTAGGTGTGTTGCTGCAGTTGAACCCCAAGCACAAATAGCATAGGTGAGGTATGGATAAATGAGTGAATGGTATAGTGTGAGAAGGGCATTTTGCGGCACATAGTATCGTATCATGGGGAAGGGGGTCTTGATATTGGTGAATGCCTTGTGATCAAAATAATTTGGAACTACATTCCACTTCCTTAGATCAGACCTAATTACCTCCTATTCCCAGGTACTGTCTGACCTACATGGGCTTAGCACCTCTCCTTGATAATAATAATCAATAATACAGTATTACCTGTTTTTATACAGTATTGGGAGATAGTTACCTTGTGGTGTGGCGACAGCAATGGCTTGACCCTCCCGTGTGAGGTTGAGGATGCCGGGCACTTGAAAGGGAGGTTTAACTATACTTCCATTGACTTTTATACGCAGCTTTTGGGCCATCTTCACCTATGGTTAAGAATGCAAAAGCTGTGGTAAGTATGTCTACTTTGAACTTGAAAAAGAATGCTTTTTTTTATTATTATTTATTGATACAGTTGACCTCAATATTTTACCTTAAAAGAGAGAAGAAATGGTACCTGTTATTCAATAATGTCTTCCAAAGTTTTAAGCTCATTTTCAAGTCTCATAGCTGGAAAAAATATTCTACCCATTCTAACTGGCTGTCATTCCTAATTTCAGTAATTTTATTCCTGGAACTGGAACAGTATGTATATACTATATGCAATGGATACCTTTGTAACATTTCACCCACACAATAGATACCTTTATTAACATGTATTTCACCCACATAGCAGATACCTTTATTAACATGTATTTCACCCACAGAACAGATACCTTTATTAATAACACTGTCACCCATGCAGTGGGCTTTATTGAGTCAGTAAATAATAATAATAATAATAATAATAATAATAATAATAATAATAATGTTTATTTCTTTGTAAAGGTTACAATGTGTAATTACAATTTTGATTTGCTAAGTACAAAGATAACCACTATCATGCCCAGGCATTTCGGGCAAACTAATCCTAATACATAGTAACTAATTAAAACTAGATAAGATAATAGTATATAGTAATTATTACTTAAAACTAAACATAGAATAGCAGTTAGCTGTTTTACAGTCTTGTTTGGACTTAATAAATCTTATGTATACTTAGTACAAGATCTAATTTACTTGTTCTGGTAGTGAGTTCCAGATCTTTGGGCCTTTTATGTGCATAGTGTTCTTGCATAGAGTTTTACTCGAGGGATGTTGAAAAGGGCCTTATGCTTTGTATTGTGACTGTGCATTCTGTTGTAACTGTCAAGGAGTAGTTTTAGGGGTGGGGGTTTACAGTGGAGTTTAAAGTTCTGCATATGTAGTAGACACAATAATAAGAGTGTATGTCTTGTATATTTAGCAAGTTGAGTCTTTTGAAAAGTGGTGGGATGTGCTGTCTAGCACAGGAGCTGGTTACCACCCGCACAGTAGCTTTTTGTTGGATTATTAAGGGTCTAAGGTGGTTGGCTGTGGTAGAGCCCCAGGCACAGATACCATAGGTGAGGTAAGGATATATTAGAGTGGTACAAGGTAAGGAGAGTCGTTTTTGGTACATAATAGCATATCTTTGAAAGGATTCCTTCTGATTTGGAAATTTTCTTGGCTGAAATTTAAGATTACAGTCAAGGAGAAGACCTAGAAATTTGCCCTCAGTGTGTCTTGATATAGGGGAATCATTTAACAGTATGTTGAGTTGAATATTTGAGGCTCTGTTGCCAAACAGCATGAAGTACGTTTTTTCTATGTTAAATGTGAGTTTCCTAGGTAGTAGGTTGGTAAACAGCAACCGCCCAGGGAGGTACTACCGTCCTGCCAAGTGAGTGTACAACGAAAACCTGTAATTGTTTTACATGATGGTAGGATTGCTGGTGTCTTTTGTCTGTCTCATAAACATGCAAGATTTCAGGTATGTCTTGCTACTTCTACTTGCACTTAGGTCACACTACACATACATGTACAGTGGAACCTCAAAAATTGAGCGTATCAAATATCGAATGTTTCGAAAATAAGACCATTTTTTCGGACAAACTGTGAGGGAGTGACTTCCAGGACTTTGAGCTCTTCTTGGAGGCAATTGTGGCCAGATTGTGTCCAAAAAAGGGATTTTGAAGGGTTTGAGGCTGACCCTGACCCAGCTGACCCTCTGCCTGTTGTGGACTCTATTGTGACATTGGGGAACACCCTGGGGCTTGAGGTGAGTAGTGAGGATGTGGAAGAGTTGGAGGAGGACCACAGGGAAGAGCTAACCACTGAAGAGCTGCAAGAGCTTCATCTGGAGCAGTATCAGACCACAGCTGAGGAACTTGCTTCAGAGGAGGAGGAAGAGGGAGTGGATGAGCTGCCTTCTTCAAAAATTAAGGAGATTTGTGCCAAGTGGAATGATGTCCAAATGTTTGTGCAGAAGTACCACCCTGAGCAAGCTGAAACAAACCATCTTTGCAACAAGTTCAGTGACAAAACCATGTCCCATTTTAGGGAAATGTTAAAGAGGCGCCAGAAACAGAGGACTGTGGACAGTTATTTTGTGAGACAGGGGTCCAGTGACTCTCAAGCTGGTCCTAGTGGCATTAAAGACAGAGAAGGGAAGTAACCCCAGAGAGGGCTTTACCTGAAGTCCTCATGGAGGGGGATTCTCCTTCCAAACACTAATCCCAACTCCCTCTCTCCTCCTCCCTATCTTTCAGATGCCATCACCAATCTTCAATAAAGGTAAGTAAAAATGTTATTTTATATGTATTACTATACATAATTAAAAACTATAGTATTTGTTGTATGTAAAACTGGAATTAATCTCTATAAAATGTATTTTTGTGTGAATATTTTTGGGTTTCTGTAATGTATTAATTGTATTTCCATTATTTCTTATGGGAAATATTGCTTCGAATTTCAGACTTTTTGAAATTAGAACTAGCTCCTGGAACGGATTAAGTTCGATTTTTGAGGTTCCACTGTACAAGCATATATATACACACCCCTCTGGGTATTCTTCTATTTTTTTTCTAGTTCTTGTTCTTGTTTATTTCCTCTTATCTCCATGGGGAAGTGGAACAGAATTCTTCCTCCGTAAGCCATACGTATTGTAAGAGGCGACTAAAATGCCGGGAGCAAGGGGCTAGTAACCCCTTCTCCCGTATAAATTACTAAATTTAAAAGAGAAACTTTTGTTTTTCTTTTTGGGCCACCTTGCCTTGGTGGGATATGGCTGGTGTGTTGAAAGAAAGAAGAAGTGTGAGTTTGTTGGTCATCATCCAAGCATATATCTTTAGCAGTTCATTGTTTACAGTGTTCTCAAGCACAGCTGGGTCTGAATGGGAGTAGACATATGTAGTGTCATCGGCAAATAGAACTGGTGTAAGGAGTTGGGATGCAGATATATATTGTTGGCTCCTGAATACCTGGATAACTTGCTAGTGTGATGCAGGTTACAGCTTTATCTAACATGGAACTCTAAGAGCAACCAGTGGTGAGTTCTGGGTATCTTGTGTGACTTTAGGTATCAGTTATGAATAATAGTTGAAAACTGCTTACAATGTATGTAATACATACCTGGACAATTATACCTATCTCTGATTATATCTGATTGAATTCCATTCCACTGGCATTGTATGATTCCCAAGGGTTTAGCACTTTGCCATGACTGCAATAATAATATGAAGCTACCTTGAGTCTACAATAATGTTAGATAGTAAAAAATGACAACTGCAGTTAAGTTCCTCATTTGTACACTTTCCCCAGCACTGGACTATCCTGAGTAAATTGCAGACATGAGAGATAATGGCTTAATAGTCCACAAGGAGTGACACCACTTATTCAGGTGTCACATGCTGCCAAGGTGCAAGTAAAATTACTTGAGTATGGAAGGTGCACTACAAGAGTCCCATTGAGCTATGTTCAGTTAACTATATTTTAATGTGATTTGCACACAGTATTGCAGCTCACATTCACATCTTATGATGTGAGACAAAGCTGAGCATGACAAACTTGAGAAGGTACCTCGAATCCTCACTTATTAAATTAACCAACACCATCAAATAAAATAATAGGATGTTTTCTAGTCCAGTCCCATAATTCATAGGGCATTAAAACAGTAAACTCATGGGCCAATAGGTTTAATACAGTGCATCTTTTGTGCTCAAGTAGTTTTGTTTACCAGGTGACGTCACTCCCTGTGGACTATTTAAGCCATTCTGTCTCGTGTCTGCTATGTACTTTAAAAATTCCAGTGTTGGGTGAAATTTTGTACAAATAAGGAACTTAACTGTTGTGTCTTTTTTTACCAACTGTCAGAAGCTTGCCATTATCTCCATTAGTGTTAGTAGTGTTGATAAAGGCAGATTTTCAACAACTGTCATTTTCTTCAGTAAGTTTACCATCAGACAGCTTCACAGGATAGCTGTTGGTGTCTCAGTTTATAGCATTGTTTGTATCATGTGTTCTGCATCAGTATTGGTGTACTCTTTTTTTTTCTGCATTATAGTAGTTTTTCTATGTGTAATATCACACCTCCATTCCTTTTATACTTTCCTTGTCACTAGTTCTGTCACTTTTGCTCTCCTTCATTTAATCCTGCGCCCTCCTCTTATGCTTCTTTATATCCACATGTCATCCTACACTAATGCACTGTTATATTCTTACTTCCATTCCATTTCCTAATTTCTCATGTTTTTTTACTTTTCCTAGTGTATGTGAGGCAGTAGGTAAAATGAAAGGGGGTAAGGCAGCTGGGATTGATGGGATAAAGACAGAAATGTTAAAAGCAGGTGGGGATATAGTTTTGGAGTGGTTGGTGCTATTATTTAATAAATGTATGGAAGAGGGTAAAGTACCTAGGGATTGGCAGAGAGCATGCATAGTTCCTTTGTATAAAGGCAAAAGGGACAAAAGAGAGTGCAAAAATTATAGGGGGATAAGTCTGTTGAGTATACCTGGTAAAGTGTATGGTAGAGTTATTGAAAGAATTAAGAGTAAGATGGAGAATAGGATAGCAGATGAACAAGGAGGCTTTAGGAAAGGTAGGGGGTGTGTGGGCCAGGTGTTTACAGTGAAACATATAAGTGAACAATATTTAGATAAGGCTAAAGAGGTTTTTGTGGCATTTATGGATTTGGAAAAGGCGTATGACAGGTGGATAGGGGGGCAAAGTGGCAGATGTTGCAGGTGTATGGTATAGGAGGTAGGTTACTGAAAGCAGTGAAGAGTTTTTATGAGGATAGTGAGGCTCAAGTTAGAGTATGTAGGAAAGAGGGAAATTATTTCCCAGTAAAAGTAGGCCTTAGACAAGGATGTGTGATGTCACTGTGGTTGTTTAATATATTTATAGATGGGGTTGTAAGAGAAGTAAATGCGAGGGTCTTGGCAAGAGGCGTGGAGTAAAACGATAAAGAATCACACATAAAGTGGGAGTTGTCACAGTTGCTCTTTGCTGATGACACTGCTCTTGGGAGATTCTGAAGAGAAGTTGCAGAGGTTGGTGGATGAATTTGGTAGGGTATGTAAAAGAAGAAAATTAAAAGTGAATACAGGAAAGAGTAAAGATTAGGTGATGAAAGATTGGATATCAGATTGGAGGGAGAGAGTATGGAGGAGGTGAATGTATTCAGATATTTGGGAGTGGACGTGTCAGCGAATGGGTCCATGAAAGATGAGGTGAATCATAGAATTGATGAGGGGAAAAGGGTGAGCGGTGCACTTAGGAGTCTGTGGAGACAAAGAACTTTGTCCTTGGAGGCAAAGAGGGGAATGTATGAGAGTATAGTTTTACCAACGCTCTTATATGGGTGTGAAGCATGGGGGTGATGAATGTTGCAGCGAGGAGAAGGCTGGAGGCAGTGGAGATGTCATGTCTGAGGGCAATGTGTGGTGTGAATATAATGCAAAGAATTCGTAGTTTGGAAGTTAGGAGGAGGTGCGGGATTGCCAAAACTGTTGTCCAGAGGGCTGAGGAAGGGTTGTTGAGGTGGTTCGGACATGTAGAGAGAATGGAGCGAAACAGAATGACTTCAAGAGTGTATCAGTCTGTAGTGGAAGGAAGGTGGGTATTACAAAAACATCAATTGGGACTTTCACATTAGTAAACCATACCCCCGGCCGGGATTGAACCCGCGGTCATAGAGTCTCAAAACTCCAGCCCGTCGCGTTAGCCACTAGACCAGCTAGCCACAATAAGATTCATCCAACTAGGTATATTTCTACACCATAGGAAAGTTAGCACAGGCACCTATGTGACCACAAATGCAAGTTTTTACAGACGAATCTCCAGCTAGCGTGGCCGTGACGAACTCTAGCTCAAGTCCCTTCACTGCCGTCAACATGACTCAAGAAATCGTAATGACACGATTGCAAATAAACCATACCCCCGGCCGGGATTGAACCCGCGGTCATAGAGTCTCAAAACTCCAGCCCGTCGCGTTAGCCACTAGACCAGCTAGCCACAATAAGATTCATCCAACTAGGTATATTTCTACACCATAGGAAAGTTAGCACAGGCACCTCTGTGACCACAAATGCAAGTTTTTACAGACGATTCGTCTGTAAAAACTTGCATTTGTGGTCACAGAGGTGCCTGTGCTAACTTTCCTATGGTGTAGAAATATACCTAGTTGGATGAATCTTATTGTGGCTAGCTGGTCTAGTGGCTAACGCGACGGGCTGGAGTTTTGAGACTCTATGACCGCGGGTTCAATCCCGGCCGGGGGTATGGTTTATTTGCAATCGTGTCATTACGATTTCTTGAGTCATGTTGACGGCAGTGAAGGGACTTGAGCTAGAGTTCGTCACGGCCACGCTAGCTGGAGATTCGTCTGTAAAAACTTGCATTTGTGGTCACAGAGGTGCCTGTGCTAACTTTCCTATGGTGTAGAAATATACCTAGTTGGATGAATCTTATTGTGGCTAGCTGGTCTAGTGGCTAACGCGACGGGCTGGAGTTTTGAGACTCTATGACCGCGGGTTCAATCCCGCCCAGGGGTATGGTTTATTTGCAATCGTGTCATTACGATTTCTTGAGTCATGTTTCACATTAGTGTTAGTAATATACGAGTTCGGGATACATAATACACATTAAAATAAATTACTCTTTAATATTATATAAAAATCAATCTTTGGTCTAGAGGTATTTGAACTAATAAACATCTGATAATATATACATGTTACAATAATAAATTATAATTAGCATCTAACTAAAATAATAAATAATAATTCGTGACCCTACACAGGGTACAACTCTCTTGACACTACTGTGTCACTATATATATCTATGCTAAAATAATAAATTAAGTAACATTTAAAATAATAAATTACAATCAACTGCGTTTCTCACGACACTTATCCGAGTTGTGACGCTCTTTCTCCACCGTGTCACTTGACACCCTTTTCTCCGTGTAATACACACTTTCGCAACCATGTCACATTTGACACCCTTGTCACTGCGTCACACTACCCGCATAGCGTCTTTGTCGAGGCCAGTCACATGACACTATTCAATGTACACTACAACCAGGCCATCTTCAGTGTCACACGATACCCTTTTCTTCTCAGTGTTCCACTACGGTCCTGTAGCATATCTCAGTGTTCCACTCCATCATACTTGCTTAAGTGTCACACTACGGTCCTAGCCCAGTTCAGTGTAACACTCCAACCTTTTCTTCATGTAATGTCCCACTAAACAGCATCCGATGACTCCAGCCCACAGTTGACCAGCGTAGGCGGTGAGTCTGCAGACATCACCGGTAGTCCTGTAAATACTCTCTAAGGCCGGTAGAAGTACACCATAAGATGGTCTGGTGAGTACTATCTACCGCCTTCAAGACCAGTTGACACACCGCAAGGTGGTCCGATGCAGCACACACTATGTTGCAAGCTCACTGAATGCGGCCGTCAAATAACTGAGGCCAACAGACTCAGTGAGCTGCGGTGAGCGCTTCTTCTAAAATCAGTAGAAGCCAGTAGAATACTCTACTGCCAGTAGATGTGTACCATTAGGTGTTCAGGTACCTACTGCTTCTAAGGTCAGTAGATGTGTACCATTAGGTGTTCAGGTACCTACTGCTTCTAAGGTCAGTAGATGTGTACCATTAGGTGTTCAGGTACCTACTGCTTAGATGCGTACCATGAGGTGTTCAGGTACTTAATGCTTAGATGTGTACCGTGAGGTGTTCAGGTACTTAATGCTCTAAGGCCGGCTCAGCAGTCCCCACAATGGGTTTGATGACGTACCCAGTGGTACTGCCGGCCTGCAGGTTAACCATTTAACCACTAGTTTGGTAGGGGGCCGCAACAGTGGGGTAGGGGTCAGCCTAGGAAAGGTTGGTGGGAGGGAGTAAAGGAGGCTTTGTATGCGAGGGGCTTGGACTTCCAGCGGGCATGCGTGGGCATGTTTGATAGGAGTGAATGGAGACAAATGGTTTTTAATACTTGACATGCTGTTGGATTGTGAGCAAAGTAACATTTATGAAGGGATTCAGGGAAACCGGCAGGCCGGACTTGAGTCCTGGAGATGGGAAGTACAGTGCCTGCACTCTGAAGGAGGGGTGTTAATGTTGCAGTTTAAAAACTGTAGTGTAAAGCACCCTTCTGGCAAGACAGTGATGGAGTGAATGATGGTGAAAGTTTTTCTTTTTTGGGCCACCCTGCCTTGGTGGGAATCGACCAGCGTGCTAATAAAAAAAAATAAAAAATAATTTATATCAACTTCTACTTTCCCCCTTTTTCCTTCCTTTTACTTCTCTACTGTTTTTTCTTGAATTACATTCCTTCTTTATTGCTTCCTTTCCTTCAAGTGGGTGCCATAATGTTAATGAAGGCTCTTGGTTGTAAGAAATTAGACCTACCCTTCCCATTTTTGGATCAAATCCTGGGACCTCCTAATTCTAAGGCAATGTATGACTTATGAGCTTAAAACCTAATAAATATGATACAAATCTACTGGTGTTTTCTTTTCCTAACATCTCCTTGGCCCCTAGGTCCTCCCCAACACCTAGCAGTACCTACTTTGTCCCTACCATAACCTCATGTTCATCATTATATTGTGTGTTAATTTTATCCTTGTTTTTAATGTAGATGTTGTTTATATTTTTTTGTATGGCTGCAAGCTCTGACTGACCTATTTGGTCAAAGTGCTCCATGATTATCACATCTAATACTACCAGTCTCTCTATGAACCTCTCCAAGCCTTACCTTGGCACCTGGCACCTTAAGAGTGAGACTCTTGGTCCAGGAGAAGGTGTTGGATCGTCTGGCATCGTTGTTTACCTTGAGGGTGAAGCCATCCTTCTTGCGACATGTCTCGGCCAGAGTGTATTTACAAGCTCCCTGCAAGTGAATGACCATATTACTCTTAAAAGAATTTCATGGCAGAAGAGGTATTAGCAAATGATCTCATGTTCTGAACAAGTAAACCTTCAAGTAGGGGTGCCTTGATGCTAATGATCTTGATCCAAGGAACTGGAGCTACCCTTCCCTTCCTTGAACCACACTTGATTACATTTCATTCTTGAAAAGCTGTGTGACTCCCATATGGGCAATGATAATGCAAGTACTGTACTACTACTACTACTACTACAGTACTACTACTACTACAGTACTACTACTACTACAGTACTACTACTACTACAGTACTACTACTACTACAGAACTACTACTACTACTACAGTACTACTACTACTACAGTACTACTACTACTACAGTACTACTACTACTACAGTACTACAACTACTACAGTACTACTACTACTACAGTACTACAACTACTACAGTACTACTACTACTACAGTACTACTACTACTACAGTACTACTACTACTACAGTACTACTACTACAGTACTACTACTACTACAGTACTACTACTACTACAGTACTACTACTACTACAGTACTACTACTACTACTACAGTACTACTACTACTACAGTACTACTACTACAGTACTACTACTACAGTACTACTACTACTACAGTACTACTACTACAGTACTACTACTACAGTACTACTACTACAGTACTACAGTACTACTACAGTACTACAGTACTACTACAGTACTACAGTACTACTACAGTACTACTACTACTACTAGAGTACTACTACTACTACAGTACTACTACTACTACTACAGTACTACTACTGTACTACTACTACTACAGTACTACTACTACTACAGTACTACTACTACTACAGAACTACTACTACTACAGTACTACTACTACTACAGTACTACTACTACTACAGTACTACTACTACTACAGAACTACTACTACTACAGTACTACTACTACTACAGTACTACTACTACTACAGTACTACTACTACTACAGTACTACAACTACTACAGTACTACTACTACTACAGTACTACTATACTACAGTACTATACTACTACAGTACTACATACTACTACAGTATACTACTACTACAGTACTACTACTACTACAGAACTACTACTACTACAGTACTACTACTACTACAGTACTACTACTACTACAGTAACTACAACTACTACAGTACTACTACTCTACAGTCTACTACACTACTACTACTACTACAGTACTACTACTTACAGTACTACTACTACACTCAGTACTACTACTACTACAGTACTACTACTACTACAGTACTACTACTACTACTACAGTACTACTACTACTACAGTACTACTACTACAGTACTACTACTACAGTACTACTACTACTACAGTACTACAGTACTACTACAGTACTACTACAGTACTACAGTACTACTACAGTACTACTACTACTACTACAGTACTACTACTACTACAGTACTACTACTACTACTACAGTACTACTACTGTACTACTACTACTACAGTACTACTACTACTACAGTACTACTACTACAGTACCACTACTACTACAGTACTACTACTACTACAGTACTACTACTACAGTACTACTACTACTACAGTACTACTACTACTACAGTACTACTACTACTACAGTACTACTACTACTACAGTACTACTACTACTACAGTACTACTACTACTACTACTACTACAGTACTACTACTACCGTACTACTACTACAGTACTACTACTACAGTACTACTACTACTACAGTACTACTACAGTACTACAGTACTACTACTACTACTACAGTACTACAGTACTACTACAGTACTACTACTACAGTACTACTACTACTACAGTACTAATACTACTACAGTACTACTACTACTACAGTACTACTACTACTGCAGTACTACTACTACAGTACTACTACAGTACTACTACTACAGTACTACTACTACTACAGTACTACTACTACTACAGTACTACTAATACTACAGTACTACTACTACTACTACAGTACTACTACTACTACTACAGTACTACTACAGTACAGTACTACTACTACAGTACTACTACTACTACTACAGTACTACTACAGTACTACTACTACTACAGTACTACAGTACTACTACTACTACTACTAATAATAATAATAATAATAAAATTCAGTTCTTGTATACCTGAAAATTGAAGAGATATCCATCAAAGGTGCGATAGTGTGGGTCACCAAAGACGACACACACACCAGGAGCATCCTCACACCGAGGGCAGCACTCATGCTCAGACTCCACACGCTGTCAAACAAACATCTTATGAATCACTCTTTCCACAGAAAAATTGTCTGAATTAATAGCAGTCACATGACTTAGTGTATGCAACTTATAAATTTTTACTTCAACTGCTGGTGAACTGCTCTTGATCCAAGGAATTGGAGCTACCATCTCCTTCCTCTGATTAAACCCCCATCCACTCTATTCCCCAAGTGCTGTATGACCCACATAGGTTTAGCTCTTCCCTTTGAAGTTTAGCACTTAAGTTATGATAATAATCTTCCCTCTGAAAAATAATGTTCAGTGGAACCTCAGTTTCATGATTAATCCGTTCTAAAAAGTCTGACGAAAACTGAATCGTATGAAAACTGAAGCAATATTTCCCATGAGAAATAATGTAAATCCAATTAATCCGTTCCAGACACCCAAAAATATTAACAAGAAATATATTTTATAGAGAATAGCTATAATTTTACATACAGAAAACAATGAGAAATAAATATAAATGACTAATGAAATAGATAAATGAACATTTAGCATCACTTTTACCTTTATTGAAGATTCTTGTTGGCGTATGGAAGACGGCGAGGAGGGGAGAGGGAGGAGGAGAGGTTATTATTTGGAAGGGGAATCCCCTTCCATAAGGACTTCGGGTATCAAGGCCCTATCCGGGCTTACTCCCCTCCTTTGTCTTTTACTGGCACTAGGACCAGCTTGAGTCACTGTACCTCTGTCGCACAAAAAATCTGTCCAGAGGCCTGTTTCTGGCGTCTCTTTAAGATTTACCTAATATGGGGCAAGGCATTGTCACTGAACATGCTGCAGACACTGCTTGCAATAGCTTTGTCAAGGAGATATTTCTCCACAAAACTTTCCTACTCTCTCCAATAGTGGCATGCTTGAGTCAGAAGCCAGACATAGGTATGGTAGGATTGTGGACAGTGGAGTCAGAGTGCACATGCTGTGGATTCCATCTCACATTGGTCTTCAGATGCATGATAGAACTGATAAATTGGCTAAGCTGTATGCTTTCAAAGAGGGAGTAGATTACAACCTTGGGTTGTCAGTTAGCAGTTTGAGAACAATAATACGAAAAGAACTTCAAATGAACTTTATTGACTTAAGACTTAGGGAGATTGACACAAGTCAGTCCATCTATCATCAAGTTTGAAATGACCTGCTGGTCCATGGGCTGGATGAGAGGAGTGGTATTAGGGGGCAAGAACTTCACTGTGAAGTTCTTGCCCCCTAATACCACTGTGAAACTAAACCCCTACAACAATTGGCCTTCCAAGTCTGCAGGATGAGCAGGAGCATTGTCCATTACCAGGAACCACTTGAGTGGCAATTGATTTTCCAGGAGGTATTTCTTCACACTCTGGCCAAACACTTCATTGACCCACTCAATGAAAATTTGCCTCGTGACCCACACAATTTACTCCTGATGACATTGTTTTTCCTGAACACTCGGGGATTTTCAGAGTGATACACCAGTAAAGGCTTCACTTTGAAATCCCCACTATCGTTGCCACAGAACAAAAGAGTTAGCCCCTTCATAGGCTTGTATCCTGGCAATGCCTTTTCCTCCTGCATGATGTAGGTTCTCTTTGGCATTTTCTTCCATAAGAGGCCTGTTTCGTCACAACTGAAGACTAGTTGGGGGAGGAATCCTTCAGCCTCTATGTACTCCTTAAATTCATTAATGAATTCTTCAACCCCACGTTTGTCTGAACTTGCAGCCTCGCCATGTCTTACCACACTGTGTATGCCAGTTCACTTCTTGATTACTGTCAAACCAGCCTCTGCTGGCCTTAAATTCACTAACAGCAGCACTCGTTCCAGGCATTTTCTTTGTGAGATCTGCATGCAACTGCCTTGCCTTTTCGCAAATTATCACCTCCAAAACACTATCTCCCACTAACTGTTTTTCGTCGATCCACACCAGCAACAACTTCTCAACATCTTCGATTGTTTGCAATCTCTGTTACGTTAGCACAGTTACCCCTTTTGCAACATCAGCTTCCTTGATTTCTTGTTTCTTCGTCAGGATGGAACTGATTGTTGATGCGGACTCCCCGTACACCCTGGCAAGATCGGCCATGCGTATGCCACTTTCAAACTTTGCTACGAGTTCTTTCTTGAATTCGATCATGTTTCTCACCTTCTTTATCAAAGGGCTGGCACTCAGAACTTTCTTTGGCCCCATGGTGGCTTATTTAGCAGTCACACTCAATAAACAAGCACAGAAAGCAACAGATTACTATGAAATGTTTTGGATGAATGTGCAGGATGGTGCTAACTCAACAAGAAACAAAAACAGACTGAGTCACGAACGCATGGGATGCTCTGAGTGGCCGAGTCGTGCAGACATGTTTGGTACAGACCATTTTCAACTCTATGAAAACTGAGTGGATGTACGAAAACTGGGACAAAATTTCGATCAAAAAAAGTTGTCGAAAACTGGGGCATACGAAAACTGAGGTTCCACTGTATTAAGCTGTATGACCCTCACCCTTCAAGGGTGGTGCCATGATACAAGTGAGGGGGCTCTTGATCTAAGGAACTGGACTTATCCTCCTCTTGGATTGAATCTGAATGTCTCTCAATTCCCAGGGACTAGTGTTTAGTGTCTGTTCCTGATTAAAATACATAAATTTAATAACAGCCACCTCTGCTATGAATTATTATAAACATGGAGGAGCGTTAAACCCATAGGATTGTACAGCACATGTCGGGGGGATGGAAGGCATTCAGGCTCAATTCAGGGAACCGGAGCACAGATCCAATTCCCTAGATCAAGAGCCCCTCACCAGCATCAAGGAACCTCCCTTGAGGTGCCTCTGCCATGAAGCTCCTTGATATAGTACAAAATTATATAAATGTGTTTGAAAAAGTACATCGAAAATTGAATAACATCTTATTAAATTTTGAATGTGCTTTCTCAACTGAGTTTGCAAAAATTGCATTATGTATTATACCTTTATTAGAGGCTTTAATGGAATAAGCAACAAATGTAATAAGAATAATGAATCAAACTTAACTTGGCATCCTAACATGAGGATGAACTCTTGTAAAATGAGAACTCAAAAACTTCAACAAAAATTATTTATTTGTAAATTTTTGTGGGTTTAGTGCTTAGTTGTGATTATAATATGTAATTAAATTTCAATCCCAAATTACACATGAAAGTTTGACCAGAGTTTCTTCATTCAAGGAATTGGATCTATCCCTTTTCTTAGATTGAACCTAATTTGCTTCCATTTCCCTGGACGCTGTGCAACCCCTACGAGTTTAGCTCTTCCCTTCTGATTAAAATAAACAATTGAGGCCTGGGATCCTTACCCTTTGTCCCGGTGGGCAGGGCTTGTTGAAGTACTCGCAAGGCAGTGTGTGGCACGACACAGCACCGTTAGTACATGTACAAGAAGTACACTGGTCTCTCTTCCACTCTTCACCATCATTGTGGATCATGCCATGCATGTGGCATGCACTCTCCAGCTGTCCTGCTGCGCTGCAGCTGGGGCAACACTCATTCTCCTGTGTAATCTGGTGCTCCTGAGAGCAGTTGAGGATAGGACAGGTGGCTCGCTGGCAGGTGATGTAGCCTTCATGACAGGTGCAGGTGGTACAGGGGTCAAGAGTCCGTTCCATACCTGTCGTATACAGGTGCCCGTTCAGGAAACATCGACCTCCTGGTGGGGAGATCAGTTCTCGTGAACCTGTAAAAATAAAACAAATCAAATGTAAGTAATAAAGGTTTTCCTCCAAGCAATGAACCCTCGAATGCAGAGCTTCACTGGTTCATGTGTGAGAGTCATGGGGTTCCTTACTGATTTAAATGTCACCAAAAGGTTATGGTTTATACCAATAAACATCATGATGAAGCAGTCTTAAAAGTTTTTCCAGTCTCAAGGATCCACTCTGCTTTAAAGTGCAGCTGGGAAATATGTTGCAATACTGATCCCCCTCAAGGAATTCTAATTCTAATTCCCTCAAGGAAGATTCCATGACAGTGAGGGCTCTGGATCCAAGTCAGCACTGAATGACTCTAGTGGGTTTAGTGCTTCTTTTCGATAGTAATAACCTTGATCCAAGGAATTGGACCTGATCCTCGCTTCCTTGGATCCAACTTAATTGCTTCGCATTCCCCCCCCCCCCAATTGCTATATGCTCCCTACAGGTTTAACACTTGTCCCTACCTATAATAATAATCTAGGTTTAAATAATGATTATTTTGTAATCAAGACTAAGTGCTAAACCCGCAAGGGATATACAGCTCTTGATTCAAGGAACTGCAGCTCTTTCCCTTTCTGAGGTGGAACCTGGTTGTCTCCTATTACCCAGACACTATATAACCCCCAACCCCTCATGGGAAGTTCCTTGATCCAAGGAATTGGAGCTACCCCTCTTATTCCTTGGATCAAGCCTAATTATTTATTCCTCAGGCACTGTATGACCTGTACAGTTTTCCCACAAATATAATTCACAACTGTACATACAAAAGAATACAAGCATTTACTTACAACATGATAGAAAAGACATCAGCAGGAATGAGGTCCTTTACTGGTACAATGTTTCACCTACAAAGGGCTGAAACGTTGCACTAATAAGAGATGTAACAACATATTAAGCGAAATACTGGATGCTGCCAGCAGGCCACATTCAGCACTGGTGTCACAGTGACTATCAGCAAGGTTATGCATGATTGTCAGAGGACCTCCGTATTATACACTGAACTCAAGCACGAAGGGTTTGCAGCTTTTCCCGAAGAGGATGTGATCGAGTCAACATCGCGATACACCTGAAAGCTTGCCTTTTCGTCTACAGGAGCACAGATACACTTTACACGGCGAGGGTCCGGGTTCGATTCCCGGCGAAGAGGTGGAAACATCGGACGTGTTTCCTTACACCGGTTGTCTGTTCACCCATCAGTAAAATGGGTACCTGGGTGTTAGTTGACTGGTGTGGGTCGCATCCTGGGACAAAACTGACCTAATTTCCCAGAAATGCTCTGCATAACAATCGGTTTTCTATATAATAGTATGTCATTGATGTCAGCTATGGTCTGTGTACCTTGTACATGTATTTGTAGTAAAGATTAAATTTTATTATTATTATTATTATTATTATTATTATTATTATTATTATTATTATTATTATTATTATTATTATTATTATTATTATTATTATTATTATTATGAATTATGAGAATGACAAGTGTCCTGTGACTCGGTTGGCAACGCTCTCGCCTCACACACCGAGTGTCCGTGGTTCAGTCCCCATCATGCATGACTCTGTCATAGTTGATGATCTTCTATCTGATCACTTCCCAAGACTAACAACTGTCAATCTTGATCACATCTCCAGCAATCAAGGAGCTAAATACAGAAGGAGGAAACTTATTCTCAAACCAGAACACAGAGACAACTTTATTAACCACTTGGATGAATGGTATAAGAATTACGAGCCCATTGGCACACAAAAATTTAATGATGATTTAATTACCACTATTGAGAGTGTTCTCACAGATCAAGTGGGCAGGAATAGGAAACAAAGACCCTCCACTATAAATAACAATAAAAACCAATGTAAATACTAAAAATGATCCACAGCTGCGCAATCTAACACATGCAGCTAGGGGGATTGGTAAAGCTACCGTGAATGTAAACCCCCAAAGACCTCCAAACGTTCCAAGCTGCACTAAAAAATTTGAAAGGGAATAAAAGGAAGAACTTAAGCAACAGGAATGGAACAGTTTTTTTAGTGGATTAAATAGGTCCACCCCTTTGAGTTTGGCTTGGAAAGGTATAAATAAAATAACCAGGAAAAAGACTGGCAATGTTGCTCATCCCTTTCCTCTTGAAAAAGCAAATGACCTCATAAATGACTGGTCCAAAACACCAGGCATGAAAGTTTCCCCATCTCATATTAGAAAAAAATTAGAGAGTACTTCTGAAGAAATGTTGGAAACTGATTAATTTTTTGACCCAAAAATATTGATGAGAGTGATTGCCTCTTTACCGAGTATGAATTAGATAATGCATTAACCAAAGGTCGATCAACTGCTCCTGGTATAACCTATGATATTCTCAGAACCCTAAGGCACGTGCCTGATAACCCTTTGTTGGCACTGTATAATCTCAGTTACATTGAGGGCGTTCTTCCTACTTCCGGACCAATAGTCTCATTGTGCCTATCTCTAAGCCCCAACAGCCTGATACATTTAGGCCGATCTCCTTAACTAGTTGTCTTTGTAAAACTTTTGAAAGAATGATGCTTAACAGACTGTACTACAGAATCAGAGATCAACTTTTTCCCCCTACCTCTATGGGTTCATGAAAGGTAAAAGTGTGCAAAAACTGTATTTCCACCTTTCTCACTGCACACAAACCCCTACTAGTTTTACCACTTTTTTTGATCTAAAATCTGCATTTGATATTGCGAACCCGAACCGTTATACTACATGAATTAGCCAAAATGAATATTGGTGGTAACTTTTCTCTGCTGGATAATAGGATACCTGTCAAATAGAGTATCCTCTGCCTTTACCAAGGCTTTAGAAGTGATTCTAAAGAAATGTCTTTAGGTAAAAACCCCAGGGAAGAGTTCTTAGTCCCATGCTATTTAATATTCGATTAATGCTCTCCTAAAGCTCTACCTGCCTCACCTAAACATATAGCTATAAGCTATGCTGATGATATCATGATCCATACAACAGGGCATAAGAAATGAATACCATTCTTAATGAAGTTCAAGCAATTTGTAATCGACTAGGCCTCAAAAATATCTTCCTCTAAAACTAAGATATTAACAAGCAAACGACATCCCCCACCCATCTATTTGCAGGTGAAATCATTAGCTACGTTAAAACTTACAGATATCTTGGTGTAGATGTACCCTTTAACAAATCCACTATACCCCAACTAAACAAGAAATGTAAAGCTAGGCTAAAAGCTCTCAAAGCTGTTGCTGGGTACAATCCCCAAATATGTGCAAATGTGAGAATCGTGAGAATGATGTACATAGCCTATGTTAGGTCCTTAATTGATTATGCTGCTCCCATGTTGATATTAGCTAGAGAAAGTTTTCTCCGACCCTTGGAGTTAATGCAAAATGAAGCCTCAGGGTTATTCTTGGCTGTCCCAGATCTACAAAAGTTTTTAACATGAGGAAGGAGCTTTGGGATTTCTAGTATCAGTGATAGGATTGTTGAAATTAACACGTACTCGGTATTAGAATGTTGAGAAACGAACCAACACTGTCACAGTGAATCTTAAACCCAAATGTCTAGAGGTAAATACACACAGATCTAAATGGATTTTGAAAACGTGCAACTGCATTAAGTTTTATAACCTGCATGAACTGTATCACTGTAGGCAACAAGAGCATTTCACCCCTCCATGGAAAGATGTGTTCAATTTTAAAATCACATACCTACAAGTCCCTCCCAAGAAAGCTCATTGCTAGTAATCCCTTCCTTAAATCTCTTTTAGAGCAACTGCCTCAAGAAGAAATTTCTCACCTAGCTGGTAGTAACAAGTTAAACACAAGTTATATACACTGATGGATCTAAACATGAGTCTTCTGGCAGGGCTTCCTGCTCTTGTTTCCACCTCCCTAGTTAAGAACGATAATAAATTTGTTGAGTTAGGCATAAGAATTTAAAAACTGGGCGTCTACACTGCAAACTGAATTGTTGCAATCCATGGCGCTAAAGCTAAAAACCCATGACACTGAGCTTGACTCTATCACATTACTGATTCTAGTCATCACTGAAGGCTCTTGACTCATTTTAATGACTCCAACAACATGCTCATTGGGGAAGCCAGGTATAGATACAAAAATTAGGGAAAAGGAATTATGTACAAATTGCTTTTGGTTCCCATCACACATTGGATTACTCCTTTATGATAAAGTTGATATGTTAGCCAAGAAGAGTATCGAGAAGGAGAATGCAGAATTATAACTTGGTATAACGTGTCTAGCATTAGGAATAATATTAGGGGAGAAGTAAATAATGAAAATGATGTTATAGGAATGCAGTTAGAAGCCGAGTAGATCTATAACCCACTATGATAACATGAACGTAGATAAGTATGTTATGGAGCAACTTGCAATGTGAACAGACTGACTGATGTTTTAGTGGGCCAGGCTTAGGCTTGGTTACAAGTCTTCTGGCAGTTTGGGAGACACACAGATGATGATCAAACTAAATGTAAAAATTTTGTGATCAGGCATATAGTCACTCTCTTGAACACTATGTGCTTAATTGTCCACTTATTGAGGAATACAGAGACAGACAGTATAATAACCTATGTGACATGTCAAGATATCTTATTAATGAAAATAAGATACCAGATATACTAAGCAAATTTCCTAAATTTGCTTGTAACAGATAAGTGAACTATAGATATGTAGATATAAATCCATATGTATTCCTGTTAACCCTTTGGGGCCTAGTTCCTAGGCCTTTTGTGTATCCATATGCTCTCGCGCTACCGTCCACAGGATGGATATGACCTGCACAATAAACTAGCCACTTCGGTGGCAAAATCTAATCTAAAAAAATCTAAATCACGGGTGGAAACAGGCATGTTTCCTTACATCTGTTGGCCTTGTTCACCTAGCAATAAGTAGGTATCTAGGTATTAGTAGACTGTTGTGGGTCGCATCCTGGGGGGCATTACTGAATGACCCCAGTGGAAACAAGACAGCCAATCCTCGATAACGCAGTGAATTTCTTGGGTTATCCTTGGTGGCTAACCCAATCCCCGGGTTAAAAATCTCAACAAATCTTCTCTTATAATTGCAATTCCCACTCGTACCTCAATGTGTGGTACAATTCCCACTCGTACCTCAATGTGTGGTACAATTCCCACTCGTACCTCAATGTGTGGTACAATTCCCACTCGTACCTCAATGTGTGGTACAATTCCCACTCGTACCTCAATGTGTGGTACAATTCCCACTCGTACCTCAATGTGTGGTACAATTCCCACTTGTACCTCAATGTGTGGTACAATTCCCACTCGTACCTCAATGTGTGGTTACAATTCCCACTTGTACCTCAATGTGTGGTACAATTCCCACTCGTACCTCAATGTGTGGTACAATTCCCACTCGTACCTCAATGTGTGGTACAATTCCCACTTCTACCTCAATGTGTGGTACAATTCCCACTCGTACCTCAATGTGTGGTACAATTCCCACTCGTACCTCAATGTGTGGTACAATTCCAAGCTACATTTCCAGGATAACAGTAAGTTTAAGCGAAGATGCATTCAGTCGTCTATGAAAAGATTTACAAACACTGTTCATAGATCACTACCACTAACTGCTAAGTTATCAAAACTCTGAAGCACAGTTCGTAGAGTGAGGATATGCATCTGTAATCTTTCGACTTCCGCACAATAAACCCATTAAACTAAACTAACATTATACAAAACACTGGGATGCAGTATAAAATCAAGGTCTTAGGGGTGTGGGCTGATGTACTCACTTTGGCTGGTCTTAGGAGTGTGGGCTGATGTACTCACCTAGGTAGGTCTTAGGAGTGTGGACTGATGTACTCACCTAGGCAGGTCTTGCAGCAGCTGTCAGCCAGGAGAACCTGTTTGGCGGCAGGGCAGGACAGTACAGGACAAGCCTTCTTCTCACAAGATAGTTTACCAGCAGTACACACGCACCTCACACATGGGTCCACGTGAGAGGCAACCACCTCACCCTCACTCACTCTCCTTCCCTCCAACCAGCAGCCTGGAATAAGCAAATTATTACTGCCTCCACAGGGTTCCTGGATACTGAGGCTGGATTGAAGGTTAGGGCTGATAAGGAGGTTTTGGTCAAATTTGTTTATCGTGTTTGTAAGCTGGTCAGTTTATCTGTTAAGCCTCACACACACACACACACACACACACACACACACACACACACACACACACACACACACACACACACAGTAGGGACAGCGAGCAGGCTAGTCACGCCGTCGGTGCTCCGGGGATTTAAGTGTTTTTGAGGGCTACAAGTGTTCTGCAAGGGTTGCTAAGTGTGTCAGGGTAGTCAACAATCCTAGAAGTGTTTTTTTTTTAATTGCCTGAGCCACACAAGTGTGGGGAGAGCCACAATTTTGAAAGTGATCTGGAAAATAAAAGCGTTGTGGCGCAGGCTAGTGTGAAGGCGGCGTTGCCAAGTGTCACCCAAGATTTTAATAAAGTGAAACAATAGTGTGACCAGTGAAAGATACAGTGAATGGGTACATTTTCCGGGGGGCAGGGCTTTTTTAAGTACTCGCAAGGCAGTGGTGGCACACACAGCACCGTTTAGACATGTACAAGAAGTACACTGGGTCCTCTTCCCCCTTTTCACCATCATTGGGATCATGCCATCAGGGTGGCAGCACCTCCACTTCCCTGCGCGCAGGGGGGGCAACACTCTTCTCCTTGAATCGGGTGCTCCGAGACAGTGGGGTGGACAGGGGGCTCGCTGGCGGGTATTTAGCCTTCATGACAGGTGCAGGGACAGGGCCAAGAGTCCGTTCCTACCTGTCGTATACGGTGCCCGTTCGGGGAAACTCGACCTCCGGGTGGGGAGATAGTTCCGTGAACCTGAAAAAAAAAAAACAAAAAAAATGTAAGAAAAAAGGGTTTTTTCCCCAAGCAAGAACCCTCGAATGCAGACTTCACTGTTCATGTGTGAAGTCATGGGTTCCTTATAAATTTAAATGTCAAAAAAAGGGTTAGGGTTTATACCAAAAAACATCATGATGAAGCATTTTTAAAAAATTTTTTTTCCAGTCTAAAGGATCCACCGCTTTAAAGTGCAGGGGGAAATATGTTGCAATACGATCCCCCTAAAGGGAATTCTAATTCAATTTTCCCCAAAGGAAATTTCCATGACAGTGAGGCCCGGGATCCAAGTCAGCACTGAATGACTCTAGTGGGTTTAGTGCTTTTTTTCGATAGTAATAACCTTTTACCCCAAGGAATTGGACCGATCCTCGCTTTTTGGGATCCAACTTAATTGCTTCGCATTCCCCCCCCCCCCAAATTGCATATCCCCACAGTTTAACATTTTGCCCACCTATAATAAAATCTAGGTTTTAAAAATTTTATTTTGAAAATCAAGACAAGTCTAAACCCGAAAGGGGGTATCACTTTTATTCAAAACTGCAGTCTTTTCCCTTTCGAGGGGAACCGGTTGTCTCCTATTACCCAGACCATAAAACCCCCCAAACCCCTCAGGAAGTTTTTTTTCCCAAGGGAAATTTGGAGCAAACCCCCTTATTCCTTGATAAAGCCTAATTTTATTCCTCGGGGCACGAGACCTTACAGTTTTCCCACAAAATAATTCACAACTGTACATACAAAAGAATACAAGCATTTTTTAAACATGATAGAAAAGACATCAGCAAATGAGGCCTTACTGGTACAATTTCACCAAAAGGGGGCTAAAACGTTTGCACTAATAAAGTGTAACAACATATTAAGCGAAATACGGGATCCCTGCCAGCAGGCCCATTCACACGGGTGCCCACAGTGACTATCAAAAGGGTTTTATGCAGTTTGCAGAGGACCTCCGATAAACCGAACTCAACACAAGGGGTTTGCAGTTTTTTTCCCGAAGGGGTGTGACGAGTAAACCAGGATACACCGAAAGTTTGCCTTTCGTCTACAGAGCACAGATACACTTTACACGGGCGAGGTCCGGGTTCGATTCCCGGCGAAGAGGGGGAAAACATCGGAGGGTTTCCTTACACCGGTTGTCTTTCACCCATCAGTAAAATGGGACCGGGGTGTTATTTTTGACGGGGGGGTCGCACCGGGGCAAAACTGCCTAATTTCCCAGAAATGCTCTGCAAAAAAAATCGGTTTTTCTATATAATATATTCTTTGATTCACTAGGGTCTGTGTACCTTGTACATGTATTTGTAGTAAAGATTATTATTATTTTATTATTATATTATTATTATAATTTTATTATTATTTTATTATTATTTTATTATTATTATTTTTATATTTTATTAATGATTATGAAATGACAAGTGTCCGTGACTCGTTGGCAACCCCTCCCCTCCACACCGATGCCTGGTTCTCCCCATCAGCATGACTCTGCATAGTTAGATTTCTATCTGACACTTCCCAAGACTAAAAACGTCAACTTGATCAATCTCCAGCAATCAAGGAGCTAAATACAAAAGGGGAGGAAATTTTATTCTAAAACCAAAACACAGAGACAACTTTATTAACCCTTGGATGAAGGAAAAGAATTACAGCCCATTGGCACACAAAAATTTAAATGATGATTTAATTACCACATTAGAGTGTTCTCACAGATAAAATGGGCAGAATAGGAAACAAAAAAACCCCCACAAAAAAAACAATAAAAACCAAGTAAATACTATAATGATCCACAGCTGCGCAATCAAACCCAACTGCAGCTAGGAGGTTTGGTAAAGCATACCGTGAATGTAGAACCCCAGACCTGCCAGAACGTTCCAAGCGCACAAACAAATGAAAGGGAATAAAAAGGAAGAACTTAAGCAACGGGAAGGGGAAACATTTTGTTAGTGTTTAAAATGGGCCCCCCTTTGATTTGGCTTGGAAAGGTTAAAAAAAAAAACCAGGAAAAAGACGGCAATGTTGTCATTTCCCTTTCCTCTTAAAAAAGCAAATACCCATAAATGACGGGTCCAAAACATCCGGGCATGAAAGCCTTCCATCTCATATTAAAAAAATTAAAGTTTTCGAAAAAAAATGTTGAAACGATTAATTTTATGAGCCAAAAATTGATGAGAGTGTTGCCTTTTCCCGGTATGAATTTTAAATAATGCTTTAAACCCCAAAAGTCGTAAACTGTTTCCTGGAGGGGAGGTATAACCTAGATATTCTCAAATCAAGGCACGTGCCTGATAACCCTTTGTTTGGCACGTAAATCTCTTACATTAGGCTTTTTCCCTACTTCCGGGACCAAAGTCTCATGTGCCTATCTCTAACCCCCAACAGCCTGATAAAATTTAGGCCGTCTCCTTAACTTTTGCTTTGTAAAACTTTGAAAGAATGATTTTAACAGACTGACTAAGAATCAGAGATCAATTTCCCCCCCACCTCTAGGGGTTTTCATGAAAGGAAAAATGTGCAAACTGTATTTCCACCTTTCCACGCACCACCCTACTATTTTTAAAACCCTTTTTTTATCTAAAATCGCATTTGATATTGCAACAAACCGTTTACAAATAAATTTACCCAAAAGAAAATTGGGGGTAACTTACTCGCGGAAAAGATACCTTTCAAATAGGTATCCTCTGTCCTTTACCAAGGCTTCAAATGATTCAAAGAAATTCTTTGGGTACACCGCAGGAAGATTCTTATCCCATGCATTTAAATTCTGTTTAAATGCTCTCCAATCTCTACCCCTCCCCTAAACATATAGCATAAGTTTGCGATGATATCTTATCCATACAAGGGGGCAAAAGAAGATGAATCCCATTCTTAATGAAGTTCAAGCAATTTTAACACAGGCCCATAATATCTTCCTCTAAAACTAAGATTTTAACAAGCAAACGACATCCCCCACCCATCATTTGCAGGGTAAAAAACTTTAGCACGTTAAAATTTACGAAATCTTGGGGTAGATGTCCCTTTAACAAATCCACTATACCACAACTAAACAAGAAATGTAAAGTTTAAGGCAAAATGCTCTCAAAGCGTTCTGGCTACAATCCCAACTATGGGAAAATTGGAGAACGTAGAAGATGTAATAGCCATTTAGGTCCTTAATTGATTATGCGCTCCCATGTTGATTTTGCTAAAAAAGTTCCTCCGACCCTTTGGATTAATGCAAAAAAAGCTCTCAGGATTTTTCTTGCTGCCCCAGATCAAAAAATTCTTAAATGGGGAAGGGAGCTTGGGTTTTTCTAGATCAGGATGGTTGTTGAAATTAACACTGTACCGGTATTAAATGTTGAGAAACGAACCCAACACGTCACAGTAAAATCTTACCAAAGTGTCTGGGGTAAATACACACAGATCTAAATGGTTTGTAAAACTTGCAACTGCATTAAGTTTTTATAACCTGATGAACTGAAATACTTAGGCAACAAGAGCTTTCCCCCCTCCTTGGAAAGTGTTCATTTAAATACACATACCTACAACCCCCCCAAAAGCCTTGCAGTAATCCCTTCCTAAACTCTTGTTGGGCAATGCTCAAGAAGAAATTTCTCACCAGTGGAGAAAACAATTTTATCAAAGTATATACACTGATGGATCTAAACAGGATTTTCGGCGGGGCTGCATCTGCCTTGTTCCCCCTTTTCCCCTATTTAAAACGATAAAAATTTTTTTGATTTAGGCATAAAAAATTAACAACGGGCGTCTACACTGCAAACTGAATTGTTTGCAATCCTAATGGCGCTAAAGCAACCTATACACTGACTTGACTCATCCTTTTACGATTCATGTCATCACTGAAGGCTCTTGCCAAATAAGGGACCCAAACAACGCTCATTGGGGAACCGGGATAGATCCCAAAAAATTAGGGACAAAGGAATTAATGTACAATTGCTAGGACCCATCACACTTGGGGATTACCTTCAGTAAATTTTGATATTTTACCAAGAAGAGTATCAGAAGAAATGCAGAAAATAATTTTGGGTAAACTGTGTCTAGAAATGGGAAAAATATTGGGAGAGAAGTAAATAAAAAAAGTTTGTTATAGGAATGCAGTTAGAAGCCGAGTAATCTAAACCCACTAGAAAC